GTTTGTGACTCCGTTTGGTGCACTTGACTTGAAGAACAAAAATGGAGAGGTTTTCAGAGTTAAAAGATTGATGACAGCCACGTGGTGGAACTACTCCATCTAAAGTGGTTTGATAGTAACCTGCGTCGTGCCGCGACGTTAAATCAGGCGCTTCTTGGGAGGTAACCCATGTGTCTTTCTTTTTGTTTTTCTTTGATTCTTTTCTTAGTGTAGGATTTATTTTTGGACTGATTGGTTGTGAGATGTGTAGGATTGTTTTGATGCAGTGCAGAACTAAGTTGGAAAAATGCACACCCTCTGAAGTTTGCATTGCAGCCGCATTGCATTTTGTGCGGACTGTAGTGGCCTTAGTGCGGGGCCAACAATTCAATGCAGACCGCAGAGTTCATTGGTCAAAAATGAGGAGTCTCTGAAGTTTTCAACGGTAGCCGCAATGCATTTAGTGCGGTCCGCGGTGGATCACTGCGACTGCATTGCATTTCTTGCGGTCCGCAGTGGACATCCCCCAGTACCTCTTGTTTTTGAGCACTGCGGACCGCGGTGCCATTTTGTGCGGTCCGCGGTGGGTAGGTAAGTTGGGCCCCAGTTCCTTTTTCTATAAATAGAACCTGAGACACTCATTCTAAATTTTTCGACCATTTGCAATCAAAAGCTAAAAAATCACTGTTCATCTCATCTAATTGCATGAATTCAACTGCTAAGTCTAGTTAATCAACATTGCATCTCACTTCTGGTAATTTTAATTCTTTCTTGGTTGTTTAACTTTGTTATTTTCTAATTGCACGAATTCAACCGCTAAAAGTATAACATTGCATTCTTTGTTTATTCTAAAACTAGAAATTTGTAATTTTTCTACTTAAATGATAAAGTTATAATCCCAATGGTGTGTGTGTGTGGGGATATATAAGACATGGTGTGTTAGAATCTTAATTTTTAAAAAACCTCGTAGTATTATATAAGAGTTTCAAATGATTTTCTAAGAATATAAAATTAGATAACAAAAAAACATAACATTGTAACGATGCAGTGCACCCTTAGTTCATATTAAAAATTTAGTACTTGACTTTTATCAAATTTTATAGTTAAAAAGTTTTTGGGAGAAATTTAAAAATAGCCAGATTTATAAGTGGTCGTGCAAAAATAGCTCAGTTTTAAAAGTAATCGAAATTTAGCTATTTTTTATGTAAAAATAAATCTGAACGAAAATACAATTCAAAATCCGAAAAATACTCCAGCATAATATACTGGAGTTCCAGTATAATATGCCGGTCCAACATAATATACCGGAGTTTGGAGCACCGGTGCTATAGCCTCTAGTATATTATACTGGAGCGAGCAAAATATACCGGTCCAGCATAATATGCTGGAAGTTCATATACAGGTGCACTGAACTCCAGTATATTATGCTGGGTCGGTCTCTGTTGCAGTAAAATAGTGGCTATTTTTCAGTGACTTGATAAACGCTGGCTATTTTTGAATGACCAGTCCGAAAACTAGTTAGACCGTGCTATTTTTACAAAATTTTTGACTATAAAATGAACTCCATCATTCTCGGCCCTTTGGAGAATTTCCCCCCCAAAAAATATTCACCAAATCTCATTTTTAATCTTTAAGTGCCTCGTCAAGTAATTCTCTCAAAAACCATAATGTCAAACGAAATGTCGTCGTAGATATGCAGTAAACGCCAGAAAAACGGTGGCTCAAACGGGAGAAGTTTTATTTTGTGTGTCGTATAATTTACAAGGCTCCTTTTCCCTCAAACGGCGGTGAAATTAGTTGTACACGGCGGAAACCACCGTTGAGTTGATCTCCGGTGTCGCAAATGCCGAGCTCTTGTAGTATTAGAGCTCTCTGGATCCTCGCCAATCAAGACACTGTTGTTTTCTCCCGGTACTTCCTCTCTCCCTCTGTGTGTGTTCTTTCTTTCTTAATTTTGATAGTGGTGGTGGTGTGATGAATTTGCAGGAGATTTCCGGTTGTCGAGAAGAGGTGGCGGGCGGCGTGTGAGAGAGATAAGAGTTTAATCGAGGATGATTTGAATTATACTGGGGTGCCTGCTCTTCCTACTGATTCAGAGATAGCTGCTGCATTCATTGACCGCAAGAAAAGGTTTTTTAAATCCTTTTTCGAATATAGGTTTAATCTTGGGATGATAGCTTATATGTTTTAGTATTATTTATACTTGAAGAGAACATAATAGTACTATCCTTATCTCATCTTTTACTTTTTTTGGATAGTTGAGAAATTAGATGTTTCTGAGTTTCAAAACTCTGTAGATAATAGCGCTTACTTCTACCTTCTCTGAAAAAAGTATCTAAATTTTAGGATCTAAGTTTATTTCTCTTAATCAAGTCAATGTGTGTGGTTTGGATAATATACTGAATGCTTATTATGTATGGAGGAAATAAGTTGTTAGGAATAAAGAATTGTGGGTTCGCTACGGTCATATATTTAATTCTATTTCCTAATTTAATAATCTTAGAGATGATGTGAGAGGGTAATAATCCAGTTTAAAGAACTAGACCAAATGACAAAGTGGAGCTTCAATTAGCTTGATTTTACTCTTGAGCCTTTCATTGTGAAATTTTGGTTTCATGGCTAAAAGCCAGATGCGAGTCTTGCCTAGTGAAACACATGTTTTTTGTAGTTCAGTTGGAGAAATGAATTTTCAGTTCAAAAGATGGATTATCAGCAAAAAGTTGAAGAATTCCCAAGGATAAGGAAGCCACGGGACTTTCGATCATCATTTTTATTTGTTAGACTTCAGTTCAATTCTTTCTGGTGTCCAATTCTATGATAAATAAAAAATAAAGAAATCTGATCAGTACTACATGGAGATAAATGACTATAGGGAGACCCCTCCCACATCCTTCTCTTTCTCGGTGTATTTCTATTATTGTGGTCAGAGGGGATAGGTTCATGTTTGAAAGGTTGGTTCCTCGAAATTGCAAGTTGAGATTTGAATGACATCTTGAAACCATCTTCTTATCTCTTTTTTGGATGGAAAAACTCAGATGTTTTGCATTTTCGCAAGTCCATTTTCTTTCTGATTCTGTCAAATTTGTGAATTTCTTGGTTATGGAAGATTTAGGTAAGAAAATCTCTAGTAATTTTCCTATTAACTTCTTCTATACAGATGTCTGGTGTTATTAGCTATGACTGTTGATGAAGTTGTCATGGAGAGTGAAATGGCATGCAACTGCTCACTATCTGACTTTATCATGTCAAATCCGTTATCTTACTTATTGTTGACTTAGTTTCCATTGTTCTTTTTATCTTTCTTCAGTTTATGTCCTTACATTGTAGCCATTGGAATTTCCATGAATTACAATGTATAACTTTTTCTATAGGGAGGGATCTGCTCGTGGATTTGGCATTAGGATAAACCAGTCAGTTGAAGGTTCAGATTCCTGGGTTGATGATCCAATTACGCGTCACATAATAAGTCTTTACACTAAAAATGAACAGGAGGAAACAAATCGTACTTTGTGGCCGCTTGTTTTGCACATAAAGGACCACTACTGTATCCTTGTACTGCCTTTAGTGGAACCTCATCATCTAAAAACATATATAAGGATGTGTAAAAGATCTGACTGTGGAAATGCTGTTGGAGCAGATGAAAGTTTATCAGCCCTCCTGCTTAATCTTCCATCCATCACAGGGTAAGTTCCATCTTTACCTGTTTCAAGTTAAGAGGTAAAACTGACATTTGACATCTATCTATGGCTTAAGTTGATTCCTCCTTTGATGTAAGAGTATTCATTAGTTGTCTTTTTCCTTCTTGTTCACTGCTTGATCAGTCATTAAGCTCCACGCTCAACTGATGCTATTAATTCTCTTACCTCTTTTATCCTTGGGCACATTTTCTCACTGATATTATGATATGAATGCTGCCTTCTTTCATATAGGCAGATTACTTTCCTATTTTCTCATCCTAAGTGCAACAACTGTAATTTATATATATTTGATGTCTCGACCTGAGTTTCCAATGTCTAAATTCTATCCTCAGTGATCTATCCTGTTAGGGATCTATTTTACAGATGAACTTCTCCACTTGGCTTGCTTTCTGTTTCCGTTTAATCTTCATATAAGTTTTTGCCATACAAGTCTCTGAATGCAGAAAAATAATTCACCATATCGCTGTTATTGGTTCTGGTTTTCTTGGCTCTAGTGATGCTTCTCTGAGTTGTTTCATTTTACCTGATATGTTATTCCTTTCCCGTGTTCCCTCCTTTTCTCTTGCTTGAGATATTCATGTACAGTATTCATGGAAGGCCATTAAAATTGATAGAGGCTCCTTGATTCCCTCGCCACTTTTGCATGTATAAATGGGCATATCTGAACATAGGAGTACCCATTCATCATCTCTCCTCCTTTTCATCTTCCATATTAAGCTTATATGATTTATCTGGTAAATACCAAAAAAGGATTTATCTGGTATCTTTTTTTTCTTTTTGTTTGATGGTATCAGTGCTGTCGTAATAACATTTGACTTCGTAATCTTGTTTGGTCCATAATATGTATTATAGGTGGACTAACATCAACTTTCAGGTCAGCTATTTCCTCTTCAAGTTTCAAGAAATTGTACAAGTATAGAATCTTTTCGAAATTGTAACCCCTGCCAAGAGAGAAATAAATAAAATTAATGCTTGAGATAGTGAAAGAGTAGGAAGGTAAAAGATGCTTTTGACATTAAACTAGTAACAGTTTGTTTGCCAATTAATTTGAACATGCTTTACTACTAATCTGTTGCTTTGACCCAAAAAAATGAAATGATAATTTAAAAACAACAGTAATAGTAATAATATTATGATTTAGTGCATACTCTCCACACTGAACTTGCAAAAAATTCCCGGCACGACTTAACTTTGCTGGGGACTCATTACACACCCCAACATGTAAAAGGAGTGGTCTGAGACCCCCTTACACTGCCACGTTGTTTGCGCGTCTTTAGTAGATAATGGAATGGCATGAAATGTTAAAAAGTGTTTGAGACCTCATTTCACTACCATATGTCCAACATTTATATTTTTTCTTTCCTTTCTTTTAATAGGGTCATCTTCTTCTCCATTTTCTGCAGACCTCCATTGCTATTTTTCACCATCTTCTTCCATATTTTCTTACCGACTTTTTGCCTAATTAGTTTAAAGTTATCCAGAAAAATCAATTATTATTTCCAGTAATGTTTGATTATAATAAAGCACGCAAGTTAATTACATTTGCCTAACGAAACTCCAGCCATTCNCCACCCACAGCGATTTAAGAGTGCAGAGAAAGAGAAGTGGCTGGAGAATTTTCCCGGGTCCGAACACTCGGTAGTGATGTTTTAATCGGAGACTGAAGTTGAAAGGGTGCTTCCATGGACATGAGGTAGATATATGTATGTTGGACATTGTAAGGGGTATAGTTCTGATTTTTTTTTCTTTGATACGTGTCAAGCATATGAATCACACCCTCCACTTTACAATGGTCTAACACAGTTCAAGGGGATCTCAGATCCACTTTTTACAAGTTTGGGTGTATAACGGGGAACCTGCAAAGTTAAGGTGTGCAAGGGGTTTTTTCTCAAGTTCGGGGGGAGGGGGAGGGGAATATGTATTAAAGCTAATAATAATGATGCTGATAATCGCCCTGTAATTGCCCAGCCAAAATATCATAGAGTTCCTTTTCTAGATACAGTATTATAGATCTTTGAGCCTGTCATTGCCACCTACTATTCCTTGCTGTGTATAGAGGAACTAGTTTCTTTCTTTTGGGGTTTGTTTGTGTGTGT